GACACGCTTGATGCTCTTACTCGATGGGGGGGGGCATGGACAATATATATAACCTTAACACTTGTACCCCCATAATATGCTTAAAAAAAACATGTTCTTTCTTGGTCAATGTTCATTTTGTACTTGAAATGGATGTTTAAAAAAAGGAAAAAGAATGTATTATGTAGTGGTTGGATGTGGTATTTTTTCTTTTTTCTTTTTCCCCCATCTTGGTATCTGCATGAATGGATGTGGTATTTTACAGAAGTCAATTAAGTCAAAGTTTTTGTTAGTGTTGTTCACATCTATATACCAAAGGATTTTTTTTATCGAGTTGTTCTATCAACTACTGAGAGTATTAAAATCTCAAATTATGATTGTGGAATTGTCTATTTTCCCCAATAATTCTGCCAGTTTTTGCTTCATGCATTTTTGAAGCTCTGTTATTTGGTGCATACAAACGTATAGTTGCTATATATTCCTGATGTGCTGACCTGTTTATCAATATGGAAAGTCCCTCTTTATCTTTAATAATTATCTTTTCCTTGACATTTATTTTGTCTGATATTATTATAGCCACTCCCACTTTCTTATGTTGTTTTAACAGTATATATTTTAAAATCCTTTTACTTTCAATCAATTTATGTCTTTGTATTTAAAGTGCTTCCCTCATATATAGCATATAGTTGGGTCTTGATTTTCTATCCAATCTGAAAGTCTTTTTCTCTTAACTGGAAAGCTTATTGCATTTATATTTAATGTAATTATTAAAATGGTTGGATTAAATCTTCTGTTTTGCTATTTGTTTTCTATTTGTCTTATTTTTGTTCCTCCTTTCCTTCCTAGTTTTGGGTTAATTAAGTACATTTTCAGAATTTCATATTAATTCCTCCATAGAATTTTAGCTATATCATTTTCCTTTTTGAAAAAGTATAATTAAATATGGATGTTTAGCTTATCATGAGTTAATTATAGTTAATATTATACTATTTCATGTAAAATATAGAAAACTTTCAATAGTATAATTCCATAAATTCTCTACTCTTTGTGCTATGTTGTAATATGGATCTACATATATTTTAAATCCCAGAATATAGTATTATAATTTTTGCTTTAAATAGTTATTTGTACTCTTTTATTTAGAAGAAAATATATATATAATATTTTATACTTATCCACATATTTATCATTTCCAGTACTCATCGTTCTTTTCTATAGATTCTGTAATTACCATCTGGTATATTTTCCCATTACTCTGAAAATATCCCTTCACTGTTTCTTGCAGTATGGATTTCCTGACAATTAGTTTTTATTCATTTGAGTATGTCTTGTTTTTACCTTCATTTTTGGTTTTGTTAGAGATAGAATTCTGGGTTGATCTTAACACTTGCAGGATGACTTTTCATTGTCTCCTTGTACAAACTGTTTATGATGAAAATTCAGATGTCATTCATATTGTTGTTCCTCTGTATGTAATATGATAATTTTTCTTGCTGCTTTCAAGATTTTATCTCTGGAATTCAGCTATTCAACTATAATGTTCCTAGATACAGTTTTCTTTGTATTTATTCTACTTGGAATTCATTTAGCATTTTGGATCTTAAAGTTTATTTCTTTCACAAATTTGGGGAGTTTCTGGCATTATCTCTTCAAATAATTTTTTTGCCCCTCTTTTCCTCACCTTCTGGAACTACAATGGCACCAATGTCAGACTACTTGATATTGTCCTATAAGAGTGAGTCTGTTTATTTTTATTTAATCTTTTTCTTTTAATTTTTTAGATTAGATAATTTCTATTCATCTATCTTCAGATTAATTTGCTCTTTCTTTTATTTTTAATCTACTTTTATGCCCATCAAGTAAATTTTTCATTTTAATTATTTATTTTTCAGCTCTAAAACTCCCACTTAGTTCTTTTCTTTTCTTTCTGTGGTTTTTTTTTTTTTTTTTTTTTTTTTTTTTTTGTCCATCTCTAGTTCTGGACAGAAAGTTATTTTCTTTATAGTTTTTATTTGTCTGCTGAGATTCTCCTGTTGCTCATTAAGTACTTTAAGTTTTTGAATAAATTTATAGTAGCTACTTTTAGAACTTATTGGCTAAGTGCAACATCTTTGTCATCTAAGGGTCAGTTTCTATTGACTTCTAATATCTTCATTATGACTCATATTTTCCTATTTCTTCACATATCTAGTGATTTTAAAAATTTTATACTGGACATTTGGATGATACATTGTAAAGTCTCTGGATTCTGTGATACTTCTCTAAGGAGTGTTGACTTTTGTTTTAGTAAGAAGATAACTTGCCAGCCTCTTGAAACTTTCACCCCTCCAGTGCACAGAAGTAGAAGTCTCTTCTCAGTTCTTTTGGTTTCTAGTAGAATTTTTTTTTTTTTGTCAGACTCACTGGGGTCCCATGTGTACAGCTTAGAGGTTAGTTAAGGATTTGGGAGAGGTTTACACAAAAACTAGGGGGTTCACCTCTCCTGAATCTCCCTCCCTTTTAGGATTTCTTTCATAACTTCCCAGCTTCTCTGCCAGCACTGAACTTTCTCTTTCAACACCCAGGCCATATGGAATGAAGACTACCCTCACAGTCTTAACTTCAGCCACTGTATTTTTTAGCTTTATAATTTGCATTTGATCTTTTTAAACAGATACCAATACTCTGGTGAAATTCTCCATTTTTTGTCTGTTTTCTTGATTGTATTAATCATAATTGTTTTAAAATACTTATGAATATCTTATACCTTCAGAATCTAGATTATTTGTGGATTTATTTTTATTGTCTATTTTTCTCCTATATTTATGGTCATTTGTTCATTTCCTGGTATGCCTGATAATTTTCCATTGAATGCCAAAAATTTTTCATGAAAAATTATAAAGGCCCCCAAGAAAGAATTTGGTTGTTTTCCTGAAGGCAGATGGATTACAAATTAATCACTTTCCTCTAGGTAAAGCTGGGTTTTAGCACTTGTAAGAGCTGTTCTATTTCTGGTTTGTCCTTACTCCTAGAATTTAATTCTGATGCTCAGGGTGTAGCCTGCTAGAGATCCCAGCTGAAAGCCTAGAGTATTAACCAAGGCCCCTATAATTTGGTATATCCTGAACTCTAACCTTTGTCTTCTTGCATCACAACATTATCAGAATCTCTGTTCAGCTGCTGACCTCTTAGAAGCTGCTTCCTCTTTAGTTTCTTGGCATTTTATCCAGAACATATGTAGCTTTGCAGTAGGCAAATGTTTCAGTAAGAAATTACACAAAGACTTTTAGAATTTCTTCTCTTTGCCTCCGTCCCCTCTGGAATATGGACCCCTCAAGTCCCTGAGTCCTGGGAAGCCCCATCTCTCTGTCTCTCTGGTTCAGTGAGACTGTAAAAAGCCCAGGCCTCAAATTTTCCCTCAGCTTCTATTATCTTGCTCTGTTAATAGGCAAATGACCCAAAGGGGGAAACTGAGATAAATGAGGACTCATCTCAATTTTCTTCTGCCTGGGAGAAGAATTTTCTTCTCCCTGGACTCATTATGTGTTTTCTACCTTGGTCGTTATATGATGACTTCAAACCAGTTTTTAATAATTTCTCAGAGTTAATAATTATTTTTCGTGGCAGGATTAGACCAATATTATCTATTATAACCAGACGCAAAAGTCCTCATTACTAACTGGTTTTAGAAGAACTTCTTGCTAAATTTTATTTTATTAAAAGAATTGTGTTTTTTGAGATAGGGCCTCACCCTGCCACCTAGGCTAAGCCTCCTGAGTAGCTAGGACTACACGTGCATACCACCACACTGGTTGATTTTAGAGATGGGGTCTTGCTATATTGCCCTGACTGGACTCAAACTCCTGACCACAAATGATCCTCCCACCTTGGACTCCCAAAGTCCTGGGATTACAGGTATGAGCCACTGTGACCGGCCCCTATTTTAAATTATGTTTTTGTGGAATTTGTGAAAGAAATGAACCAAAAGTTACAACTTCCCAGGGGACAGCCACACACATAAGCCATCATAGCCATCGCAACCAGTACTAATTGGTTTCCATACCAGTAGTCTCAGCAGAAAAGTTAATTTGGTAACAAAACTGAGTTTTACTACCTTTAAGCTATTTAATACCAAAAAATTCTTGAAAGAGCAATAAGGAGAATCTTTTATTATTCATTGATCTTACCAGCACCAAGATACATTTCTTTAACCTCAACATGGTGCTTCCACTGTTTATATTTATATTTCCTTTGATCTGAGTTTAAGGCAGCTTAAAAGATTCATATTAAAAGCTTTGTATTTTATACGAGTTGGTAAGCATTATTATACATAAGAACCAATAAAATACTATTTAGTCTTTGAAAAATGCATGAGCAAACAAATTATTCTTTTACTAATTAACTTTAAAGAAGAAATCATAATTATATGATGCTGGATTTAGTGACAGCCAACAGCCTGGAATCTCAATTGGCTTTATCCTTTATCGCCCTGTCTAAACAATATTGCAACCCTTTTAATGTTTTATAAAGACAAAAAAGTACAACATCCCCTGCCTCATTTTGCTATCAGTATACAGCCCTTTTTAAAAGGGCACACAAATATATATCTGTATGTGTATACATAAAAATATACATAACAACCAACTCTTTTTCATATAGTCTCTTAACAAGTAATCTAAATCTAAATCTAAAATCTAAATCTAAATACTTAACAAGTAATCTAAATCTAACAAAAATCTAAACAGGCAGCTCTTATTTCATGCTAGTTTTTCTAATTTGGTCTGCACCAAAACTGTTCAGAACTTATGGTAACATATTCAACCAAGTACTCAAAACCTACAATGATGAATTACCTGTTAGTCCTTTAAAAAAAAGGGGCACTTTCCCAACTGAGAAGCACCTGTATGACATCTACATTTTCATATCCCTGGTATCACTGATAAAGAGTGAAAGGAAGGAATAAAAATAGAGATCGAAAACAGAGAAAAGTAAAAGAATGCTTCAAAAGAGTTGTATTTTTAATTTTTTTTTTATAGACTCACCCCATGTAGTTGTCTTGAGGTTTTCATCACCCGTCTGAACAATGCTGGATTGTGTTGGTTTCTGACAGTCCTTATTGATTACGATCTCCTTTGCTGGGTCAAATATTGTGAATGAGGGAGAGACATAGAGTGTCTCAACAGAGGCCTGGTTATAAAAAGTAGAATCTGACTTGGATATCATTAAATTGTGACTGATAAATTCTTTACTTGATGACCAAAATGCTGGTAAAGTTGCCAATGTTTCAAAACTTTTTGCAGCTGATTGCTTTTCTAGGGGCGTTTGCAAGGGGTCTTCTGTTACAGCATTTGTAATGGTACGGTTACTGTCCGATTTCTTGTCCAAACTCACATTTGTCTGTAGAGAGGGGCTTTTTTCTGAGGGAGTAGGCACAGCATCTATAAAATGACAAATAAGAGCTATAATCAAATAATAAATGAAAAATACTCTATTTCAAATCTGCTGCAATCTTAATAAATAGGACTTTTTAATGCCTTAACAGAATTCTATTTAGTCCTTCTGCTTTCTTACTATGCTTCTATATTCTGCCTATTTAAAGTACACCCAAGCTATAATTGATGCCTTAGTCATTTGGTAGCTGCCTTTTCCTCTCTCCACACTGAAACACAAGGCAAGGAAAAATTCAAATACCTTGTCTTTAAATATTTCTCCCTTCACCCACTTATCTGTCTCTGAAACCACCTTATTTTTAGTACTTTCAAACTTTCATCTTTTACGTGATAAACTAGGGGAAATATGCCACATCATACTGGTCTATCCTTATAGAACCCTCAGCTACAAAAAAGTCTTTTTCCCAAAAATAAAGAATGTCTTCTTCCCCTCAGTGTCTATATGAGGCACATTAAAGAAACTCAGTACTTTAGGCAGCAGAATAATAATTATCAATGAATTATGGACCTGGTCTGAATTTCTAAACTCAAACGGCTATCAACACTCTCAGTGCTGGGGCTTGCTGTCATATATTTTCATCTGAACCTGGATATGAAAACAAAGAAAATTATTTTTAAGAGATTGAGCTCATGAAATTAGAAGGGTAACTAGGTAAAAGAGGGCAAAGGGAAGATTGTGAGATTTAAAGCTCCCCAAGGGGAAGAGGATGCAGAAATTGTATAATTTGCTATCAAGTGATTATATCACAATGTATATATCGTAACACTTCATAATACACATCTATATGCTATCCTCAGCACTTCAAGGCTCTGAGTTATTAAAGAAAAGAAAATTTTCTTTTACTCTAAAAACCTTCCTTTCCATTTTCATCCATAGCTAGAGGTTAGCCTGAACAAAAAAGCTGCTGGTATTTTATACAGTGTTAGACAATTCAAGAAACTTATATTGATTTCTCCCTCAGAAATTCTATTTTTCTTCAATCCTCTCATCTTTAAAACTCAATTCAAGTATCATTTTCTCTTTAAAGTTTGCCCTGACCCTTTTCTTTCCTCTCCTATTCTATTATTGTCTATCTTACCGTATCCTGTTTGAAGCCTGTGGGTAATTATAAAACTTCTTATCTCATTTATTACAAGTCTTGTCCCCTACCTGACAATAGTCTCCTTGAGGAGACCTTACTTAGGAGTCATCTTTGTATCCCAGCACCTACCAGTGACATTCCTAGAGGATGTATTCAATCAGTGCTCACTGAATGAAAAGAAAACTGAAGCACAGGGATTAAAGAAAAAGTAATGCCTTTGTTATTTGAAATTGAATATAGTTTACTTAATGATGAAAGGAAACATAAAATAGGTAGAGGAAAATAACCTGTCCTAAAATATTCCTAATTTGCATATGACCATAGTCTATTTAGTTGGTAAAACATTCTGTTAAAAATACAAATATAAGGCCAGGCGCGGTGGCTCATGCCTGTAATCCTAGCACTCTGGGAGGCCGAGGTGGGAGGATTGCTTGAGGTCAGGAATTTGAGACCAGCTGAGCAAGAGGGAGACCCTATCTCTACAAAAAAAGTCCAAGTTCCTTGGGTTTTAAAGGCCCTCCAATTGCTTATTTTCTATCACCACTCAACAGCAAACAAATAGGCCATTCTCATCACTCACATCCCCATGTACATTCTGGTCCCTTTTGCTTCATTCTCCATGCTGATGCAGGTCTCCTGATCGTCATGGCCACTGCTTTCTCACCGTGCAACACTGGAACACTCTCCCCTTCCCCATCTATTTAAATTCTACTAATTCTCAAGGCCCATCTCAAGTAATTGCTACATGTGGATGCTATTTCCAATCATGCCTACCACTCCATCCTAATCCTTCTCTTCTCGGACATAACAAAGTATTTATTTCTGTAAACTCATCTTTTTCATTTAATTATATGCTGTTTTGTGCCTAACATATATCATATTAAGATCCTGCATTCTGACTTTATAGCCTGCACCATGCTTTTGCATATAGGAGGTATGCAAATGTTTGTTAAATTTAACCATTTCTTAATTTATAAATAATCTAAATCAACTTTTCATGTTGGTTTTGTGTATAACAATGTATACTGTACGTGAAGCCTAAAAATGAGAATGATCAAGAAACATTTGTTAGTACCTACTGTTTACACTGTACTGTACTGTATTAGACTCTGGAGATACATGTAAGTGGAAGTCATAGTTCCTACTGTTAGTGAACTTAAGATCAAGTGTGGATGATGTATAATATGTGTAGATACATATATACATGCATACCTGTTATATGTCTATATATATACACAAGTAAATTTATGATAAATACATAAAAATAAGTAATACAAGTTACCAGTTCGATTTCAGAGTATCTAGAAAACTGTAGTTTCCAAGAAATGAGTAAATATAAAGAATATTATTGATTGGATCAAGATGGTGGACAAGAAACACCGCCAGAGAGAGTGTCTCTGCAGAAAAGACAGATTCTAGCAGAAATTAGAAAAAAGAAGCAAGAAGACGAGCATACAGCGGACGAGGGCCAGAAGGAGGGGTACCTGAGACCACGGGAGACTCCACGGGAGGAGGTTGTGGAGGAGAACTGGAAGCTGAGACCACCGAGGCAGCCCGAGACCAGCGGGAAGGGTAGGTGGATCAGTCACCTTTCCCCTCCCCTGCATCTGGGACAGATGGTGGGCTCCCCAGCGGATGGAGAGACCTGCGGACATCAGCCCAGAGACGGCAGCCGCCAGCGAAGCGGTAAGTCTGTAGCGGATACAGCACAAGGCTCCCAAATCCCTTGGGGCACCTCCATGTGCAGGCGCCATATTGCCTCCTTCTCCCCTCCGTCGACTCTACCCGCAGCTGCACAAAGAGATAATATAGCCACCAGCCAGAGGCACCTCCAGGGAACAGGACCTTCCCTTTTGGGAACCTACAGCTGACTAAGGGGAACTCAGACTGTCAGCTCCCTACCCGCCAGCCCTTCCAGGAGCTGCTGGCATGGTGATCCCAGGAAAACGGTACAGACCCTGAGGCTAAGAGACATAGACCTAGCTTGGTCTCCCTGTGGGTGAATTGGGACCGGAACTCCTCTCCCTGGTGGGGATATAATTTGAACTCTGGGGTCCAGAGGTCAGACCTGCAGACCACATCCCGTGCATCGAGGTCTCACATTGCCCGGGGCACAGAAGGGATTTACGTGAACAGTCTACTGAGGTTTGTGTGCCTTCAGGGGCAGATCAGCATCCTAGAGGGCAACGCTCCTCCTAAAAGGAGGCTATGAGCCCAGCCCAGGTGGCGTTCCTGCACAGAGAACCTCCCTGCCAGCATCACAGTCCAGGGAGGCCTGGTGGCGTATGGTCTGGCCTTCTGGCAGAGGCCCAGGAGTAGCTGGGGAGTTGGGGAGGGTGGAAAGAAGCCAGGCCCGCTCCAGACTGCGGGTCTCACACAGCCCCACCCCCACACACAGACTCTCTGACTGAGCGGGGCCATTCCAGCCCCTCCCTGACAGCTTTTCCTGGAAGCAGAGAACAGAACTTTGACCCCTGCTAACGGCATTGGTGGTGACTGAGGGCAGGCTTACCCAACCCAGCTCCGCCCAGACTCTCTCCTAGACCAGCCC